GAAAAGAAAATTGCTGACTGTGAGTTAGATTTTAATTGTAAATATATTTATTCCCCCTGACATAATATTCGCAGATATATCTTGTAATGAAATAAAAGAGTTGGACTAGTATATAGCTATAACACATAAATAAAATATTCAATCATCATATACATCACATAATGAGATTTAATATGTTTGTTTGTTAAATTTTGTCATCACAACATTCACACACATTCATTATGCTGGCTGTCTATGTATGTTGTAGTAATTAATTCACAAGAAGTTGGCTTAATTAAATACATATTTTTTAGTTCAATTGTGATAAAGGTTGAATCCTTTTTGAATTCATTTTAACTGGTCTTCCTGGAAGCACTACTACATTGTTTTTACTCCAGTAACTTAGCTACAACACATTATACATTGACTAAGAGGCTCAGGTACCATTAACAACTATGCCAAGACAGACCAGTGAAATTGAAGATGTTTTTAGGCAAAGTATTTTTGATAAAGTATATGTTCATTCTTCATGAAATCAAAGAGACATTTGTTTTCAAGGCAACACAGAAGTTAAAATAGTACAGCGGTTTATATGTTCTTTAGCCTGTTGTTCAAAGTAACCTTAGAGGACTTGCAACATTTAGAAACAGGCAAAACTTGGGGAATTCCAGTTTGAAAACTTATGAGCAATAATTGATGCCCACTTCTAGGTTAATCAATTTATTTGCAGACGACACAGAAAAGGTTGGAAATGTTTATTTCTTTGACATTGCTTACTACTGGTACTGACTTATATTCAAAATGAAAAAGGTCTGAAAAACTGATGTGAAATTTTTAATGAATGTGAGAAAAGGTGTTAAATTTAAGGCCAATATTATTTCAGACCAATATTTCAGTTCTGTCAAAGTTGTGTACCTGTCCTTTGACAGATTCTTTTTTAATTTGTAAAAAAGGGCGACTTTTTGTATCAGAAATTGCTAGGAAACCAGTATATTTTCAATAGATAGAATAAAGGTACTTAAATATTTTACCTTGCATAATTTCTAAAATCTGAATTTAAAGAGGTGATTTTGTACTCTTTCCTTAGAATATTCGTTTAAGTTTTCTTTGATAATGAGGTCTAATTTGAACTTTCAATGGACAAGCCCTCACATAAGTCCTATTAAAAATGGCCAAAAATACTCATAGCTAGTCAAAGCCTGAATGAATTGAATTCTGACAAAACAAATTATCTTGATACAGCACTAACTCAATTTTAAATGTGTCCTAATTACAACAACAAAAGACTAATATATATTTACACTACAGTCTCATTATAACACTCATGTTGGGGTCCCATGTCTCAAAACCGAGTTCTAATGAGGCTCTCATTAGAACGCTCATTCCGAAATTACCGCATTAACCTGCCCACCGCCTATACATACAACGCTGAAGATTTTTACTTACTTTTCAATGAATATCAACATTATCTTTTTCTAAAACAATTCAATAATGCAAACATATATTACATTCACAAATAATACTAATCATATTTAAAAGAAACAAAAAACTTTCAAAAAAACCCATAAATCATAAATGTAGTGTAAACAGTTAGCCATTACAGTCCAGCTTTAGTATTGTCCCCTAATTAATCAAACGCCATTTACTTCCTGTCTGGGCCGTTCTATATACAGTGCAGGATTTTAAATAGATTTTGGGCTTGTGTGGGTTATTTAATTCTGCGAGGTTTGTATGTCACAGATATGTGTGTGAATTTTAATTTATTTATACACACCACCGGCTGCCCATGTCACATATGATATGAATTTGAGATTTTGGAAACAATTTGATGCCTGACTGATCAACAGGTTAAACAACAAAACAGCGGATAAACGCTAACCTCTGCATGTTTTTCACACCTTTAGCGCTCATAAATGTCCTAATTACATTGTTTATAGTACTTGACTGTCAAATTGAACAAGCACTATAGAGGATATGGGGCGCTATGAATCTAGATCTACATGAATATTTTTTTTTTTTGGGAGCCAAGGTCTGTGAGCGCTATACTGAGATAAGCGTTATAACAGAGAGCAATTTATCGAGGCTACAGTGTATATATATGTGTACACACCTTGCAAATTGCAAAGATAAAGTTCGTTATTTTTTTATCATTTGATTATTTATGGTTACATAATTTCTTACTGATTAAAGTAGCAAAATGTTAAATCAGCCCCATATAAACACTTTATACATGTATACCTTAAAGTTTAACAATTTAGTAGTGAATATGATTAAACTTTAGATAAGTTTTTGCCAGATAAAAGTTAGACTTTGTACAAAGAGGTATAAGGGCACCTTTGATAAGTTAAATCCAAAGTAAGTCAAATCATTTTGACTTTATTTAGTTATATGAGAGGATTTATATATGAAGAAATTGATATTTTACAGGAGTACAATGTAGAAGATACTTAAGGCTTATAGTTATGCATAATTATAGAGTTCATCAATGTTTAAAATCTAAAATAACTGTGAAAGAAATTGAGACATTTTTATCGACTTTACAATGTAAAAAGATCTACTAACAAAAAGACAAAATGGCTACAGGTGGACAAATTGATACAGATATTCTTTCGGATGAAATATTTGACGTATTATGTTCAATGTGTAGAAATGAAGGCAGAAACACTGAAGGTGAAAAATACTGTGTTGACTGTCACGATTATTTCTGTGTAAGTTGTGTCAAAGTTCACAGTAAAGTGCCTGTATTAGCTGGTCACAAGTTATTGGATAAATCGCAAGTTAAATCAGGAACCAGTAAAGCTATGCCGAGGGCACCAACAGAGAGATGTGACAGACACAGTCATAAACACATTGATATGTACTGTCAGAACCATGATAATGTTGGCTGTTCTACATGTATGGCAGTTGATCACAGGTAAACTATAGTATTTAAACAAAAATATTTTTTTGTAAGTATATGGAATGTTTAGTAGGTACTTTACATAATATTCTTAGACAAGCTTAAATATATAACACTTAATAATATATCATCTACTACGCAGCCTCATAAACAATCTGAACTTATTTTTCAGGTTATGTAAAGATACATTCTACATACCAGAATTTATCCAAAACAATACTTACCAAATTGAATCGAGAGATATTCAAACAAAACTCAAGGAAATAGCCCAGACCCTTGAAAAACAAGCTAATAGATTTAAACAGGATAAACAAAGGCTGTTAAAGAGGAAAGCAGAACTACTCGCTGATATCAGAAAATTCCGACAAGAAATCAATGGTCAACTTGACACGCTTGAGAAAAGTTCTATTGACGAGATAGAAAGTAAAGTTAAATGTCTTGAAGACAAAATTGAAGACAGTTTAAAACAGCTACAAGCAAATAAGGCCAGGATTAGATCAGCTAATGATAAGTTAGCATCTACAAACACAAATCATTCTGAAGTGTTTGTTTATGTGAAGATGGGAGAAGATGCTGCAAATGATGCCAACAAATATATGGAGCATGCCAAAATAAAAAGTACAGTAGAAGACATAGAGTTTCAACCTGACAGAACAATTCTTACACAGTTGGAACAAAAGAAGACCATAGGCAAACTATCAGAGAAACCTACAAAGACTGCTGACAATTTATTTCAGATTAAAGGGAATAAATCATACAATGTAAAAGTTAAGTCAGATAAAAATGATTGTGAAATCACTAATGCCTGCTGTATGGAAGATGGTACAATAATTCTAGCTGATCATGACAACAACAAGCTTAAACGGTTACACAGTTATAACTATTCTGTCACAGACTACTATGATCTACCTGGAAAGCCATATCAAGTGTGTATGATCAATAACACACAAGTAGCAGTAACTATTCCATCAAAACAGGAAGTTCATTTCATTTCTCTAGAAAGAAAAATGAGAACAAACAAAATTAACACTGATTTTACATGTTATGGTCTTGCATATGCAAACAATAATTTATATATTTCAGAAAACACATCAGTATATATGTATACATTGTCAGGTAGGAAACTTAATCAGTTCAGTAATGATCAATCAGGACATGAGTTGTTCTCTGACATACGCAGTTTAGCTGTCAGTAAGGATGCTACTAGGATTTATGTTGCTGATTACAAAAATGGACTGATAGTACTGGACAACAATGGTCATGTTATTACATCATTTAATGATGATGAACAAATAAAGGGGGCTGGATGTTGTTATGTCACTGAAGCAGGTAGTGTGCTGGTATCTGGAGAAGGTTCCAAAAATGTTTTACAGTTCACATGTGATGGTGAGCTGATAGGAGAAGTTATAAAAGCTGATAGCGGAAAAGAGGAAATTATATCAGTCTGTTGTAATCTACAAATGACAAAGATGTGTATAAGTAGATCTAGAGATAACAATATTGAAGTGTATGACATCTAATCAGTAAAACAAATGATTCACAAAAGAAAAATAAACATGTTTTAAAATCTATGCCAGTCTCTCAAAATGTATGCAAAGAGTATAACATGTTTTATTTATTAATGTGATAATTTCTTTTGGAGTTCCCATTTTTGAGTGCATCTGTTTTGATTGTTATTTGTTATATTACAAGAAAAACTACTAAATTGTTTGAACAATTTGAAATAAATCATATCATGTGAGTATTTGATGAGCATAATATTGTTTCATTTAACAAGTTCAATAAATTTAGAAATAAACACAAATATTAAATTTTTATTTATTACATACCAAAAATTAGGATGGTAAACAGTAAAATAGAGTCATTCTTTTCATTAATGCACATAATTAGTGCTATGCTTAGGAAATAGATATCAATTCTGAGTGCATTGTTGTAGAATAATGCACGGTTTGAGTTCAAATGCGTAGTAATATAATCACGAAGGCCGATAGGCCCGAGTGATTAATTACAAAGCATTTGAACGAAAAACGTGCATTATTATACAATAATGCACGAAGAATTGATATCTATTTCCATTCTAATACGTCAAGAAAAAATATAATTTTTATTATAACGTTGGACTTTATGTTTGGTGGTTGAATTTGTTTTCGCCTCAGAGTTTCCAATAGAAACGTTCTTTAGAGGCCGTTCCAGTGGGTTGAAAAAAAACTGTTAAATCTACCGTTTGTAGAAACATTTTGAAAATAACGAATTTTGAAAACGTTGATACAACTTTGTTTGTTTATTTATTTCAGTTTATAATTTTCCAAGCGAAATACAAATTATTAAAAGTGAAATAAATGTAAAACTTAACTCGTCTGCGACGTTAAAATAGCGTACTTGATTTTGATTGTTTTGCACGTGCTGTTTGGCGCTACATTGTGACGTCACGTAAACAACACTTTAAACGTCTGTACAGCGTTAACGACTGAATTAAAGATATTGGTGTTCGGATTTATTTTCTTAGTTAGACCATTTTCTATCATTCTAGATAGTTTTCACAACAAAATTCGACAAAAAATTGTTTTTATTTATCAGATTTTTCAAACAAAATGGCGCCCTCAATGTGAAAATACACAGGGAGATAATAAGAACGGCGAGTGCATTGTTGCAGAATAATGCACGCTTCGGGCCTTCTTTGTCTATATAGAAAAATTTCCGATAGTGTTAGAATAATATTTAGCCTATTTTGATGTTTGAATAACAGCATGTTGCCATGATACATTGCGGTTATACAAGTGTAATATTCATTTTCATTTAATGGCTTTTTTATACTTCTGTATATATGAATGAAATAAAATTCTATTTTTAAATCCTGAGACTTAAGTCATTACCTCAACCCCAGAATGCATAAAGTCATACAAAAAAATCATACAAAAAAACAAAATATCAAAGATAATAGTGAATAAATGATGGCTTTAAAGCACTATTATATCAATCAAAACTTTAGCCTAAACATTAACAAACATTTATATATGATCCCTGGGCGTACTGGATACAGGGATTTTCCTGAACCTCTGGACTGTGACACGTAACCATGTTGAATGAATTATCTTCTATTTAGTAACATAGTAGATTATACGAAGAAGTACAAGGGCAACATTGCCGCAAAATAAGCCTGTCTTAAAAGCTTTTGATGCACATGTGGGCCTTACAGATATGCATAGCAATTAGCTGTAGATGTGACCTTGACCTTTGAACTCAATCATGTATAAAGCAATACATTTAGAGCAGCTGAACTCCAGAAGATAACAGAACAACTACCGTTTCACAAATATGTAAAATCAATCTTCAAAAACATAAAATAGTTGAAAGATATCGAAATGATTCTTCAAAATGTTCATATTCTAACATTATTGCACTGAAAACAAACAGTTTGCTTTTCTGCCAATTGGGAAATACCTTCTTTTATTTTACTACCAAACTTTTTCATCCTGGTTTTTTCTAGAAGACCACATGATTGAACAGGACATATATGGTGACCTGTGGTCCTGCATCATATCAAACTTAGAGGGAAATGAATAACTGCTTTTGTTTTGATATAAGAAGTAACATTGTGGCACTAAAATCATAATTAACAAGCAATTATCATAGTATTGCAAGCAATCCATAAGTCCCCTACCGGTTAGAACCCCATCAACATTCTGAAGGGCCATTGGCCATTCACTAATGTTTCAATTTTTCTCTATTTGAAGTAAATTTGTTGGAAAAGTTCTTTAAAAGTGATCACAGTTAACAGTTTTTATGAACAGACAGACAGACGGACTGAAGGACACTCTTAAGTTAATATTTGAAACATCCCTGTTACCAAAATATAACATTTTAAAAGCAAAATTCTTAAAGAGGAGATAACTCTTGAATTAAAGATGCAATTTCATAAAAAATTTCAGCTCTTTTTGACTAATCACAAATATTGTTATATTCGCCATGTTTTAAGCCTTTTTGTTGCCAAGGCAACTGATATTTTTTAAAAATAGGAAGAACAGATAAGACATGCATAATCTCAAGACTGCCATCTACCCATATGTCAAGTTTCATAAAAATATTTCCAGTACTTTTTGAGTTATCACTGGATTCAGTTTATGTGTAAAATTTGCCATATTTTCAGTCTATGTGTTGCCATAGCAACCAGAATTTTCAACATAGGAAGAAAAGAAAAAGACGTGCATAATCTCAAGACTGCCATCTACCCATATGTCAAGTTTCATAAAAATATTTCCAGTACTTTTTGCCTTATCACTGGATCCAGTTTATGTGTAAAATTTGCCATAATTTCAGCCTATGTGTTCCCATAGCAACCAGAATTTTCAACATAGGAAGAAAAGAAAAAAATGTGCATAATCTCAAGACTGCCATCTACCCATGTCAAGTTTCATAAAAATATTTCCAGCACTTTTTGCGTTATCACTGGATGCAGTTTATGTGTAAAATTTGCCATATTTTCAGCCTATTTGTTGCCATAGCAACCAGAATTTTCAACATAGGAAGAAAAGAAAAAGATGTGCATAATCTCCATACTGCTATCTATCCATATACCAAGTTTCATAAAAATATTTTCAGTACTTTTAAAGTTATCGTTGGATCCAGTTTTGTGGACGGTTTCCAGTACTTTTTGCGTTATCACTGGATGCAGTTTATGTGTAAAATTTGCCATATTTTCAGCCTATTTGTTGCCATAGCAACCAGAATTTTCAACATAGGAAGAAAAGAAAAAGATGTGCATAATCTCCATACTGCCATCTATCCATATACCAAGTTTCATAAAAATATTTTCAGTACTTTTAAAGTTATCGCGGGATCCAGTTTTGTGGACGGACGGACTGACTGACGGACAGACGGACGGACGGACAGACGGAAGGAGGGTAAACCTAAAGTCCCCTCCGGTAAACTGGTAGGGGACTAATTAATTATATCATATATTTGATGACAAATTTATTGATTTAAACTTTAGCTTGAAATATGATAAGGGCCAGTAC